CTTTGCCCACCCCGCACCCGACACCAGACTCTTCAGGCCAATAAGGTAACTGGGCAGAGAAAGCCCCCGCCGCTGCTGCCGCTGCCGCTGCTGCTGCCGCCGCCGCGCGAAAGCAGCGCCCAGGAGGATGCTGCTACCCGACTCTCCCTACGCCGAGCCGCGGCAACGCGCTCGGGCCAGCCTCTGCGCGGCTCCTGCCAGCAGACGCCGGGTTGGTGCGCGCCGCCGTCTGTCGCTGCGGCTCCTCCCCTTCACCGCGCTGCCCTCCTCCTCCGCGCGTCCCGTGCCCGCCCACTTCGCAGCGCCCAGCTCCTGCCACCGCCGCCTTGGGGGTTGGAGATGCGGGTCCCGATTTACAGCGGCGCCGCTTGGGCCGCCATCCGCGCGGCCGAGGCCGTAGCAGTCAGTGCGCCAAGCGCCATGGCGTGGACACGGGGTTCGAAGCGCTCGGGCGCCCTGACCTGTGGGAAACTTCGATTCTGCGTGCGGCTGCCGGACTCAACCGCACATTTTTGCTCTCGGAAAGAGTTAGCGATAAAGTTTGGGCAGAAACTCCCCAGCGGCTTCCCACTCCACTCTTCCTGTGGGTCGGCACCGCCGGGCCCCTCCGGGAACCGAGGATGCACCCGTCCCCCGGAGCGCTCCGAGGACGCCGAGCGCCGCTCTCAGGCTTCCCGCTCCCAGCTCGCCCGTTCCAGCTGGCGTAAGACTTCTCCCTCACCGAGGAAGTAATAAATCTTTCTGACCCTGGGGTCAAAGAAGACGCTTCAGTTTTCCGGAGGAGTATGCCGGCGGGGCGTCTTCTCCCAGCTTTACTCCACCTATGAAGAGGGCCTCTTCGGTTTTATTACGCCCCCAGCAGCCAGACGCTCTCGCAAGCTCCGCTCGTGATGCTGCGTCCTCTGTGACCGACGTCCTCGGGAACTGGGGTGATGGGGGTCGGGGGTGACTCTTTGTTCTGATTTGCAGTAAAATACTTATCTTGCGTCTTGGTTTTAGAGATGAGATCAAACGACTTGACCCTAAAGGAAACGCCGTTGTTGGAAGTAGATCACTTTCAGTTGGTTTAAGTACTTTTTTTTTCAAGACAATAAGGAACTGCTTTCTGTGTGGGTCTCGCTCGCTCGCTCTCCCCCGGCCCCGCCCCGCCCCGCCCCGCCCCGCCCCGCCCCGCCTCGCCTCGCCTCACCATAGGAGACTAAGCCATAGCTCAGTTTCATCCGCGAAATGGAGACAATTATAATAACCTCCATAACTGAACAGTGATGGGGAGTTAGATGTCCAGATGATTACATCTCACGTGAGCCCCAGGCTGAATCACTATGAATCGCCACGGGGCCAGAAGCTGATAACAGACTGATCTCCTGGAGGCGTTTTTCTGCGTCCTGTCCCGATGGACTTTTTAGAAGTTTGACAAAGTTAGGGCATATTTATTTTTGAACTATTTGGGGTAGCCTCTCTCAGCCAGAAGATCCTTCTAAATTTAAAATGTTGTTTGTGCCATTATTCTACACTGAGTCTTACAGAATCTTGGAAGTGCAAGGATTCTTGGAAAATGACTTAATTCATTTGAGGTTTCAGGGTAGAAAAATATTCAAAGAACTTGACTTAGCCTCGTTTCCCAGAAAGATCCATAATGCCACAGTAGAGTTTAGATCATTTTTCCCCCTGTGGTTTAAATAAAGTATAAGGATGAGATGTTTCTAGGACAGATTTTATGCAAATAGTGGGATAATAGAGATCGAATTTTAAACGCAGCTTTCCCAAGTAGCATAGCATTATCTCTGGGAGCGTTCAGGACAGACAGACGTTTTTAACTGCTGTCTACAGGCGAAGATGATAGTTTAACTGAGTGACATCACGTCTCTGCCTTTCTAGACCCACCCACTTTCCTTCCTGTGCTGTCTCTATCCCTGTCCCTTCTTCCCTCTACTCTTTACCCACAAAAACTAAAGTGATATTGACACATTCAAAAAACTGATGGAAGAGAGAAGAAATTGGGGAGAAAAGAAAATCTCAGTGTTAGTATTCAGTATTTTCCAAAGAAAATAATGTCTAATATTTTAAATTTAGTCTCTGGCTTTGTGGTTACTCAGAAAGCATGTGAATTTGATGGATGGACCCTTTTTTAAACAATTGTTTGCATAGACACAATTTTGTCTGCACTTTTGTAACACTTCGCTAAAGTTGGCAAAATAGAAAATCCATTTGCCAGACGCCCCCACAGTGAGCGCTCAGCTGGCATAAATGTACAGGTTCCAGCATCTCCACCCTCTCCTTGTTTGCAAATATTTTGCCATATTGCCCCATGTCAGTTAATTCCCAACTTTGTTACAATTGATGACATCCAAAGACTTGATAATGCCTTCCTTCCCACATTTGTTCAGCAAGTCCTTTCATTTTAATCCACTTTATCCCTTTAGTACAATCATGACCCAGGCATATAATAATAATAAGCTACATGATTTCATTGGCAGAGAAGCCGGTCATGCCACAGGTCTGTCCTTCAGCTCACTGTTGAGTTCACTGCAATTCAGTCTTTTCCAGGATGCTCCTCGGTCTCTCTCTTCTCTGCTATCTGGGATGTGGAAAGGAAACTGCTGCTGGAAACTTGCTGTGGCTTTTATCTAATCCTGGGCAGAGAGGGGACCTAACATTCTGGGATGCCCTAGGCCCAGTGCCCCGCCTGTGAAATGTGACAGATCTTCCCAGACCTTCCTCCATAGTCTGCACTGGGAAAAGATGTAAGGCTGCAGTGCACAGACAGTTCCTGTCCAGGCCTGTCCGTGTCGCTGGGGAGCTGCAAGTTTCACCTCAGGAACGCCTGCCCCTGGACATCAAGATAGATTCAGTCACTCAGTTTCAGCAAACATGCATTTTCAGTGGAACTTTAGTGTACAGGATTAGATTAATCATAATCCTTGATTGAAAGGATAAACCACAGTTGCCATTAGTCAGAGGGTGGCTCTTTTCTATTTTATATGATTTTAAATAATACAATGAATATTCATGAATTCATTATGGAGCCCAGGAACCTCCAGAGGTAACCAGTCTATTTAATTTAGTTTAAAAACTGAAATGAAATAGTCAAGTCCAAGGGGGAAGAATTGGGGGGGGAAAGGCTTGCCTTAAATGAAAAAAAAAAGATATAGCCTGAATACTCTTATGATTGTGAAGGAAATGAAGCAGTCAGTCATTTAAAATAAGAAAAACAACAGTCCCAGAGGGCTTTACGGGAGAGTTCTACCAGACTTTTAAGGGCTAGATAATTTCCACCTTATACAAACTCTTCCAGAGAATAGAAGAAGAGGGACTACTTCTCCAGCTCATTCAAGGGTATAACTAGAGAGGGTTTTCAGAGAAGGAAATAGGTTCTTTTCACTGATTAATATATATGTAAAACCCCTAAATAAAATATCAGCAAAACAAATCTAAGTGTGGCAACCAAGCTAGGTTTGTCCTAGAAATATAAGAATGATTTAATAAATAAATAAAAAGTGCTATTCTAACTCTGTGGGAAGCAAAAGTGAAACAGACAGGCCTGGTCCCTACTTTCACGAAATTTACACTCTGGAATGGGAGACTTTCAGTACACGTGCACTTCAACAGATAGGTGCTATGGAAAAAATAAAATAGATCAAT